TCGTTTTGGAAAGTCAACTGCAGAACTGCGGGCTGAGGCTGCGCTTCGGCTAAGCCTCGACGGCTTTTCTGTGGGCTACACTTTTTTTTTTTTTTTTTTTTTTTTTTTTTTAAATGGTTCTGCTCCGTGCCGCCCGGGGGGCCAGGAGGAAGCGGAACGAAGGGCGCGGGGCTGTGCCGCTGCTCCGCCCGCTTCGGCTCCCGGGGAGGCGGCCCGGAGCGCTGCGGCCGCGCTGGGAACTGCGGCCGAGTGAGCGCGGCGGGGCTTTGTCCCCCCGCACATTCTTTACCAAATCTGCCACTTTGGCGTGAAACTACTTAGCGCCCTTTCAAAAGGATTTTGTTCCTTTCGCATTCAGCGCTAAACAAACTCCCCCCGCTTGTCAGCGCTGAGCCGAGAGCGGCTCCCCGAACCCACGTCCGAGCCGCCACGTAACCGCGCCGGGGATCTGCGCTGCGCTTTGTGCGAAGGGGCGGACGCGGGGCTCGGCCCTCCCGGTGCGGTGTCGGCGCCGCGAGCTCCTCGGCTGGGGCCGGGCCGTGCCCAGAACACTCTCCCTTCTCGGCTTTTGTGCCGGGAGGGATGCCGTGGCACCGCTTGGCCTCCTCCTCCCGGGATCTACCGCGACCCAACTCCGAGGGAGGCGGCCACAGCGGTCCAAGCTCCCCGGCCCGGGAGCCGTCCTCTTGTGTCCACGTGGGCCCGAGGAAGTCCGACGCGGACTTTCCCTAAACTCCAAAGCCCCGATGGCTGCGCCAGGCCCCGCGCAGGGGTCGGTCCCGCTCCCGGCTGCGGCTTCCCTAGGCCGGGGACAAGCCGCTCATCCCGCGCTGATCCGGGACAACAGGCCCCCGAACGGAGCCCGTTTCCCACAGGGCTTCGCTCCCCCAGACCTGCCGGGACTTCCCTGGCATAACTCTGAGGGATGCCAGGGTTTTAGGGGGCAGACAGAGTGGGTGCCTGAACTCTCCACGCTGGCGGCTGTGCCACCCCTTTTGTGGCCGGGTACATTGCCCCTGCCCGGGCCCTGCTGGAGTGCCTGGCCCTCTCGTTCCCCCGGGCCACCGCCTGTGTGCCAAGATCTCTCCAAGCGCCTCTTTCCACCCTGGCGTTTGCCAAGCACCAAATTTTACCAAATTTTTTTAAGTGGGTCCCACTTGCTTCTCCCTGTTATTGCCCTGAGAGCCTAGCCTTCTTTTTCCCTTTCCATTTCCCTTCCCCCTGGAGTATTTCCACGTTTGGATTGTGATGGTTTATTTATTTATGTTTCTGGAGAAGTACCAGAGGAGGCCTCGAAAACTCTTTTTTTTTTTTTTTAAATCTTCTCTTTTAGATAAATGTCGCATTTTAAGCTGCCCTCTCTTCTCTTTTTCGCATTGTAGGAAATATTGAAAATGCCACCTTAGTATTGAAGGGATTAACTTGCTTTTCTCCCAGCCCCTAACTCTGGTGTAAAGGGAGCAGTAGATCAACTGTATAATGTGTGCACTGTTTGGTCATTTGTACAAGCAGAACAAAGGTTGAGCTAAGCCAAATTGCATTGCACTTGTGAACCGAGTCCCAATTTGAAGTATCTTTTACAGCAGGGGGAATGAGAACAATTTCGTGTATGTCTAAAAGGGAATAACAAAGCCACTTTCTAGAGCATCTCAAAGTGAAGTAGTGAGGCGTGACATTCCCAGGGTGAGGAGGGACAAAGGCAGGGTCAGGGGGATGAAAAAGGGAATCAAACAGCCACTTTCACATGTCTGCCCTCAACTGCTGCACCTCTCCATAATAGGAAACAACTGTTGTAAAAAGGGGGATTGCTCCCATTCATTCAAAATAGCAAATGATAGCTAAACAACATTGTCAAAACTGAATCAACTTCTGTGCAGTACCACCCAGAAAAAGGTATTGTGTTTTGGTTAATAGCTGGGTGGAGCAAACTTGATTTTCCTTTCTTTTTCCTTTTTTTTTTTTTTTTTTCCTTTCTTGCCTTTTTTTTTTTTCTTTTTAATTAATGTGCTCTTCTTTCCAATTCGGTCCGTTTCATAAACTTAATTTAAATTATCAGACTGCCTCTCGCTTACACTTTCTCCCACAGTCTGCTCCTGTGCTGCCGTCCCTTACACAACCGGGAGGGGAGGATAAAGCCGGGGCTGAGCTCCTGCTGTCGCTGCGGGCGGTGAATGCGGTTCCGGGGCTGCGTGCCGAGCAGCGCCGTGCGGACCTACACAGTGCTGTACCGGGCCGCGCAGACCTACACAGTGCCTACCGTGCTGGGCTTCCTGCACAGACACCTGTGAGCGCCTGCGATATGACTCGGCCAAACATTTTGAGCTGACAACTGACAATGACTTTAATACTGCACAGCCACAAGAGTGAACTGCCCTCTTCCCCTATTACCGAAGGCAATAACCATTTGCGGAGCTCAAACCCGCTCAAACTTTCAGAGCTACGTTTTCCGGAGGGCCACAACGACGGCGGGGCGCGGCTGCGAGCGCGTCCGTGTAGGCACGGCCGGGAAGGCCGCCCCGGGCTGGGGGCGGTGCTCCGCCCGGCCTCCCGCCGCCCCCCTCCCTTCCCTCTCTCCCTGCCTTCCTCCGTCTCCGTGCCGCCCGCTCGACCGCCACCCACGGAGCCGCCCCGCGAGGGCACGGCACCTCCCGTGCGGCGGCTCCCTCCCACGCGGCCGGGCCGGGCGGGGACGTAGGGGCGGGGGAGGGGGAGGGCAGCGCCTTGGCTGCAGCGCGTTCCCAGAGAAGCGCCGGGGCTGCCCGAGGGCTGCGGCCGCACCGCCGCACGCTCGGGAAGGGCAGGGTAGAGCGAGGCGGGGAAGAGACGGGCGGGGCGGGGCACAGCCGGCCCTGCGGCGAGGCCGGGCACCGGCCGCGGTTGCTGAGGCCGCGGAGCTGCCGGAGCCCTTCTGTCTCTCCGCCAGCCTCATTTCCCCGGTGCCACCGCCACGAGGCCAGAGCTGCTCGCGTCTTCCCGTCAGCCTCAGCTCCGCAGCTCCGCAGCAAAAAAACACATTAACCCGCTTTAATATTTTATTCCTGGGAGAGGTTCTTCGGATCTAAGTTTAGGAAAGCTTTACCCGCAGCGATTTCTTCGCTCCTGTTTTTCACTCTCTTTATTACCGAGCGACGCTTTAACCGTACGGCGTTTAATCAGCTGAAGGGGAAAGAACTTAGCGGTCTCATTTTCTTTTGGCGAACGGAGATGGGAACGACAGGCGCTGCCCTTCGGCCCGGACGCGGCCGCACAGCAGCCGAGAGGCAGCGCCCGCAGAGCCTCGTCCGCCCCGGCTGCCGCCCGCCCCTTCCCGCCGCGCTGCGGGGCGGCCGCTGTCCCGGGAGCGGGGAGCCGCCGGGCCGGGCGGGACGGCGCGGGCTGCGGCTCTGCGCGCGTATGTCGCATTATCCTCCCGCTGTCTGCAGGCAATGTAGATTTTCTAAAGATCTAATGAATAAACAACCAGCAAGCGCTGGCGGTGTAATTTACATTGTTAATGCCTACATGTGTATAATAAATATGCATTTGTATGTCTTCAAATAAACTCTTTTTAGTTTCTAACCTGTGGTGATTTTTGTTTAACAGCCTCCTTTTGCTACAGACCGATTTTCCTTTTCCTCTGTTGAGCGGTAGGGCGGGAGGAGACCGAGCGCCCCGCTGCCCACCGGGGGGTGCGGCACCCCCAGCCCCGCCCCTCGGCCGTCCCGGGCCCGGCGGATGCAGGCGCGGCGCGGGGCCGAGGGCCGCGGCTAGGCAGAGCTGGGCGCTCCGCTCTGGGTGCAGCCGGGCACGCTTTGAGCTGCTGAGCTCCGTGGCTCCGTGTCCGACATGGGCTCGCCGTGTTGGTGTGGAGGTGCAGAGAACAGCGCGTTCGGATCGCGAGCTTCAAAGGCAGCGGATTCCCCTCGAGGAAAAGTTTACAAACGTGGCTGCTCCTCCCCCCCTCCCCCATCATCCCCCCACCGCTCTTCCGCACGCCTCCGCAGAGCAGCACCCCCTCCTCCCCGCCGCCTCTCCTCGCTCCGAACGGCTCCGGGCCCCGCGGCGGTGCGGGGGGGGCCCTGCGGGCTGCGCGGGGCCGCGGCTCCGCCGCCCGTTTGTGCCGCGGTCCGGGTGCCGCCTCCTCGGGCCGCGCGGTGCCAAATGCCTCATCGGCAGCGGGCTGGAGCCGGCATACATTATTTTAATTAAGTCTATGGCGATTTACTTTCCTCTGAGATCCATTCCGTACCGCAATTAGGAACGTCGCGGTGCCGGCGCATATGAATATTCAGGAGGGTGTCAATTAATTAGCAGACAGAGGAATCTCATTATGGTGCTCAAAACCCTTTTAGTGCTCAGCAGAATTAAGGGGGCATTTGCCAATGTGCCGGATTAGTGAATATTTTACTGCGCGCTCATTTAACTTCATTATCATAGCATTTACGCCGCTCTCTGGTTTTATTAATTAAATCGCTCATTAATTTATCCGGAAGAGGGACACGCGTTGCCCGACGCCCGCCCGCGTGGGGCTGCGGCCGTTATCGCCGCGGTTCGACCGCGCTCGGAGCCGTGGGGCCGGGCGGGGCCGGGAGTGAGTGCGATTTGACTTTGCAGGGCGCCTCGTACCGAGAGCAGCGATTTGAGAAAGCCGTCCGTGCGATATTGCACTTCGCAAAAGCAAACAAACGTTCCCTCGGAAGCACTTCCCGTCAAATATTAATGGCACAAAACCGTCCGCCGGACGCGACGGGCCGCAGCCCGCCCAGCACTACCCGGGCCGGGAGAGGCCGCGCGCTCAGCGGGAGCGGAACAGGGCCGGGACTACGGCCGTGTAGCGTTAATTGGCTGCGTTTCGTGACATCTAAATAAGTACCTGGGAAACGAGAACACCTTCTGGGCATTGGGAACCATATGCTAGAATTAGAGCTAATTGACTAATTACATAAATTAGGCGTTAATTTTGCAACACATCAAGTATAAAAGATATCTCAATTAATTGCACGCGGCGGCGGGGGTTAAAGGCGAAAGCGTGGGGGCAACCCTTCGGCCTGGGTTGCTGCTCCCATCCGCACAGCTTGAGCCTGGCCAGCTGGAGCGCGCTACTGCTCGAGCCTGGGGCACGGCCCGAGGAAGGGCACAGTCCGAGGTGTGCTTCCTCAGCTTCGAGCCTTACCCGCTCCGTCTGAGAAACAGCGTGGGCTTCACGCGGTGCCAACACGTGGAAGCTCCGGTGAGCTGCGGGGTTGGGTTGGGGAGCGGCTGCGGCCCCTCCGGGCCGGGCGGTGCTCCGGCTGGGCTCCAGGGGCTCCAGGTGCCGGGCGGGCTGTGCCGCTGCCACGTGAGGACGGGGTGGCTGCGTTAAGGTACAGGAAGCATTTTGAGCCGGTGGGATTAATTATGTCTTAAAAACTTAAATCGGAAGGATTCACGCCGGAAAGGGAACTCCGGGGGTCTGAGGAGAGCGCAGGCCCTAGAACAAAGAGCGGAAGGGTTTTTACGGTGTTCTGGAAGCGTGCAGGTAGGGATGTGTCGGTGGCTGGTACTCAGGCTGCAGAGCACGAGCACCAGCCCTCTTGTGGAGACCGGCACGGGGCGGGGAGCTCCTACCACCCCGCGGCACCTACTCACGGCTCGGTACTCCGCTGGCACTCCTTCCACCCCCCTCTACCCCCAGGAAACGCACGCTCTGCACCCTGGTGGCACCAGGAGCAGCGCGGTCTGGCGGCTGATGGCCGGGAAACAGCTGAAAACCTGCCGCGTGCCTGCGTTTTTATGGAGGCAAAATGCTCGTTTTGATGTAGCGGTGCCGTGGCGTTGCCAGATGCTGAAGGTACTTGAGGGAGATGTTGACAAGTGGATAATTGTCAGCAGAACTAAAACAGGCACTTTGTTTACAGTTGAGCATGATTAATTGAGAGTAAATAAAACCGTGGCACTGTTCAGAAACTCTCAGCTGTGCAGGTTGTGAGGGGGACCCGAGCCCCCTGTGCTGCCACGGGAGAGCCCTGTGTAGAGGCTGATGGCTGAGCTCAGGGGGGGCTGTGCGGGTGCCCCCAGGTTCTGAACTCCACGGCCTCCTGCTTGCTTAGCCTCTCTTCTCTGTTTTGTTTTTTTCTTGCTTGCATTCTGGGTCACTGGGGTGGAATGCCGAGTGTCACTGGTCACTGATTAATTTTAGAAAGTAAAGTTGTGCCCTGGATGCTGGAAGCAATCAAGGTGTTGCCAGATGGGGGTGTGTGTGTGTGTAGCAGTGATCTGAGATACTCTATGAGCAGTCAAATACAGAGCGACTCAGTCATTTTCCTTCCCGTGTTGAAACCTACTGTTGTTAGGAAGTATATTGTACCTTGTAACTGCAGTGAACAGCACAGCTTAGTGCTGATGGTGGTCAGTAAACCAGAGTGTGGCTGCAGTGATTTTTTTCTTCTTTTTTTTTTTTTTGTGATCTGAGGTATGCTTCTATTTGACTTCTGAAGCAGTGTATGTTTACCCAGAGTTGTACAGAAGGTGGCATAGTTCGTATCTGAGTGATACTTCAGCTGCTCAGACCAGACAGATGCTATGGCTTAACTGGAGGGAGGGAGGAAATAGCATTTTACCAATGCAGAGTTGCCCAAATGTGCTGTTTATGCATATATTTCCCCAAAATATGATTCCCCCTCTCTCTGGTGTACTTTGATCTACTCTGAAGCCACTTCCTATGAATTATTCTTGCTTTCATGGATGGGAGCTCTGCTAAGAATGGTAGCTGCCTGCTTGGCCTCCTGGTGTGTAGCACATCTCTCAGCAAAGCTGTGAGCCTGTTTATCTGTGCTCAGACTTTCTGCTTCAGCTCTGTCCTTGGGTGATGCATTATTTAAGAATGGCACATCCACGTGTGTACCTGTGGCCACTGAGCGTTAGGATGACTCCAAGTGGATCACAGGTGCCAGCAGCCTATACAAAGGATGTGCAGTTCTGTCACTGCTGAATGAGAGATCAGTTCCCTTATCAATGACTGTTGTGTATTTCTGATCGGGACAAGATACTGCAGCATACAGGGATTATTATTTTGTACTAATTTTAATCTGTTACCAGTGACTTTGAGGGAAAAGAGTTTGCTGACAGTAGTTCAAGGCCAGCTCTCAGGGAAAACCTATGTGAGAGCAGCTTTCAGTCTCAGACCCGCAGCTTATAACGATGTAGCACCTGGTGGCTGTGTTACAAGGGATCTTTGGAGGGTGGCTGGGCATTACTGGTGTGTTACTGCCTTATCTGCTGTGTAAGGGGGGAAGACAGACAGGGATTTCTAAGAAGTTACATGGTGATGCATGTTGAAAAGATAAATGTACAAGGTACTGCTTTGCATTCAGAGGACCAGTGATGCCATCAGCCTTCCGTCCAAGGCTATCAGCAGCACTGAGGGCTCTGCTGTTATGTGCAACGATTCTGAGGTGGTGATTTCTGCAGGCGTGTGCAGGGAGGGATAACACAAAGCGCACACAGGGGAGCAGGCATGTGCTGGCAGCAGTGGGGATCCATCACCCATACGCAGTGGTCTGACACTCCTCACATTGCTCCAGCTGCTTGCTGGCTGCTGGGTTCAAGCAGGACCCTGGGTCTCAGAGTCATGTCTCATGATATTTACTCTAATTGGCCAATAGCTTGTTAATAGGAATGTTAATTAGCTTGCTGTTGGATAGTTAATGCTATCACTGACATCAGGACTATTTCTTTTTGCTTTGTGGCTTTCCACATCCTCAGCATTCCTTCAGTTCCTTCCAAAACCTTTCTCCTTTGCTTTGCTGGGCCTGTTCCTTGTCTGGAATGTGTCTCTTTCTCTGGAGCATATGCTTGTCTAAGCTGCAGCAGTTGTTACTTGTCTGTGTAGCTTAGAAGTGCCCCAGGACACTCCCCAAACCTGCATCACTTCAAAGCAGATGCTGCAGGCTCATCGAAGCCAGAAAACAGGTGCTTGGGGTCCTCTAGGCCCCAAAGGCGGCTGCTGGCATGGATGTAAGAGGAAAAACTTCTTTCAAGGAGCAGCTTTAGATTTTCCTTCTGCAGGGGAGCACTGGGCACTTCAGGGACAAGGCAGCAAGCCAGGAGCCTCTGTGCAGGTTGTGAAGATCTCCCCAGAAGCTAGAGCAGCTGTGTGGGGAACTCCTGGGTGAGTCACAGCACCAAGGAAGGAAGGAAAAGAACATCCCCTGACAGAGAGATGAGAGCATCGTGTGTTCTGCTGATAATCTTTCCAACCCCCCAGCTCAGGCTGTCTTATGCTACCCTCAAATCCATCGTGGTACTTGTTTAGATGGTGGTGGGTGTCAGCTCTCTGAACAGATGGTTATATTTATCTGCAAGGCAAAGGGAAAAAAGTGTTTTCCATGCTTTTGTCACCTTTGCAGATGGGAAAGACTTCTGAGATAAAATGTCTTGCCTGTACCCATGAGCCTAATTTACCCAGCACTTCAGTGAATAAGATCTCTGTGCAAATGAAGATTTATCACTTAAATGAAAGTCCCAAAGCAGAAGGTTCTGCTGTTGACATCAGTGGGACTGGTATATTTTATAAATGGTAATGGTCTGTGTCACACACTGATGAATTGTATGGGACCTCTGCGTGGGTATATGTTCAGATTGTTATGACCCAGGGACAATAGCTGTGCTTCTCAGACCTACAGCAGTGTCTATCAAAATTCCTGCAAGTTTCGTCTCTGTCATCTCAAGAAATACAAATTATCCTGTGATTATATTTCAGGGATGGCAAAAAGGTCTAAGTGAAGTCTGGGTTTCACTGAAGAAGATAACGTGATCCATTGCCCTTCTACTTCACACAGCACTGGTCAGTGCCTACCTGCCGCTTGCGTGGATAAGATAGCTTGAACTTCATGCTGCAGTCCAACTGGCCTGAGGAGCTGTGTCTGACTTTCCTGCTGCCCTATCTATATAAAGCCCTGAGAACTGAGGGTATAAGTGGAAAGCAGATGCAGGATACCCTTTTCTCACTGTTGGAAGTTGATAGTGGTACCTGAGGGCGGTCCTTCTCCGGGCACAGACCCCCAGACAGCCAGTCACCTGCTGCCTGGTTGTCCTGAAAGACCTTGAGGTGGAGTCAAGATGGAAAGAATGAGCCAGACATGTGGACTGCAAACACATTCACCTTCACAAGTGGGGACACCTGCTGATAACCATCTGCTGGAACGCACTGCAGTGAGCTGGTCAAGTATGTTTTTACATATAGACTGTGAGTGCTCTATGCAGTCTACTTTATATGCATATGCTCTCCAATTAAATAGATGCCCTGGTATTAAAGTTGGTTTTAGTGGTTTTCATCTTATGTGTCCTTTGTGTGGGAAGAGACTGTCTTTAAAAGATTCTTTCCACCAAGACAGAATGGCCAGCCTTGTTACGAAGCATTTGTACATGGAAAATCCTAAGAGAAAACAGTTTTCCTTGTGCGCTCCGTGTATGTCAAGTTTGTAGGTATTTGCAAAGTAGAACTTTGTTTAAGTTAGTTGTCATTAATGGCCAGAGATGTCGTGGCACTAGTACTCTGCAAGTCAATTATACATAAAACATTGTAACGGGGTTATTAGGAAGTACTAAATGTTGGAGGATATATGTGGTACAGGAAGAGGCACAAAATTGCTGTGTACTTAGCGTGTATAATGCAGCTCGCTCAATTTGTTCCTGGCTATTCATAGGAGAGTACATTTTCTCTTTTTAATTGCACAGGATGACAAGACCTTTTAATTAAGGTGGCATCTATAGTATTCATATACTGCAAAACCCACAAATGACGAAAACTTAATAGCATCATAAAAACTATGGTTAAGGCTTTTACCAACACTGCCATGACAGCGACAAGTTTTAAATCAGGTCTGTCGGAAGTGAACATATGCCTGAGCAGAGAAGGAGCAAAGCTATTGTCTCTGAGAGCTCTAACCGACATCTTTCCTACAGAAATAAGTTGCTGTTATCTTTGTGATTGCGGTACCCAAGCTGGCAAACAGCCATTCTGTCTCTGCAGCTCTTCCTGCTGTCTCTTGTCAAATTTCTGTGCCTTCTATGGCAACCTGTGTTTCCAGTTAAAAGATATTGTTGGGAAGGGAGGGCAAAACGATTCTTCATCTTTCAAAAGGTTGCTGCAGGCTTCAGTTGGGCAGGGAGGGGAGGTTTGCTTATGGATGTGCAGATGCAGGCAGTGCTGGGCATCGTAAGAGCAGTCGGGCAGGGAGCTGCAGTTCCTTGCTGCATGGCAGGGACAGCTGTCTCACCTGGAGTGAACCACTCCACTGCTTGAGAGATCGCCTCATTGCCAGGAGGTCACTGCTGAAGGGTGTCAATAATTTGTGAGCACAGTCCTTTGGCAAATATATCTACATAGGGGGATTATTTATGGTGGAGGTGCTTCTTCACCATCACTGCTTCGTGGGATGCTAAGCTGCAGCATTCCAGGAGGAGCTCTCAGCTATTGATACGGGTGTGTGTGAATATTCCCAGGTTTTGCCTTGACAGACATGGTTAAAATGGTGGTTGTTATGGGTGGCTCTTGTGAAGAGTGAGTGGTTTTCTTTTGTTTGTTTTTGTTTTGTTTTTGTAATGTGAAGGAATATTATGCAGATACTATTAAAATGCAGGTGTGGTCTTATTTCTGACATGAGCTTTTTTTTTTTTTTCCCCTTTCACATTTAGTCAATGGGAAAAGCACTTTTGTGTATATTTAACAGTTACTCTGTGAGTGTGTGTGTGTGGGGCCCCCCCCCCCCCCCCCCCCCGGGGAGTATGCAGGCCTTCTTTTCCCTGTAGGATTTGATACTTACCAGTTTGTTTTTAATCATCGAGTCGCAATGCACAGAGTTCCTCAAGCACTCCTTGTTATCAATTAAACAATAAACCCAACTGCAGATTTCAACAATTCCTTAGGGATTAGTTCAGAAAGTGACAAGATTTTCACCTTATTGTTAAAAATACCACATTGTTTACCAGATGGGTATTTAAATAATTTAAAGATGCTGTTCCAAAGAGAGACCTTGTTAGAGTGAAAAGTGCTTTTCCGTGAGAACCTCCTGCAAAAGAGAAAAGGAGCAAGTAAATAGGGAAAGAAAGGACCTTGGGAGATATTAACATTTAGCAGCACTAAAATGAGTTTTGTTAAGCATGTTTTGATATTAATGAATTATGCTAGTTGAGCGTATTTTCTTCATTGTCAGGTTTTTGAGCACTGCGACTTTTCATTTTGGGGTGTGGAAGCAGCCGTCTGAGGATTGTGCTGGGCGAGGCTTTGTGGCTGCTGGGCTTGTTCAGTAATCCTGAATCCTTCAATCCTCAGCCCCCTTTATATCGGCAGCGCAGTCCGGAGGGCCTGAATGGCAGGAGCTGATTAGCTGAGAGGGCTGAAGAGGCTGCAGTCTTCCCACTGGCATTGTCTGGACCTGCATGTGTGGCCTGGGCTTCACGGCACATTAAAAGCTGCCTGTCCTCCTCCTCCAGCCTTCACCTCAGCCATCTACATTCTGTTCCTATTGTACAGAGCTGCCAGGCTGGGCTTCAGCACATGCCTTCTTCATCCGGCAAGGGGGACCACCATCGTGTTGACAAGGATATAATGTAGCCCTAAAAAGCCGAGGGACTGAAAGTAGAATGAAGCTATTTAAACTGATCTCCGAGGCCTTCTGTGGTGCTTAAAGGATCATTTTGTTAATTAAATGTAGGCACTTCAGTCTGGTGTTATAGTAATGCTTCTGAATGCAGACAAAATATCTAGGTTATGATGGATCCTGTGCATCAATGCACCTCTCAAAATCTGCGCTGTGCTGAGAGCGTGAGGCAGAACTAGTCTGATGTGTTCAGGAAGGGATCCCTGCACGTCTGCACAGCTTTGGTTGTTTTACAAACCCATTGCTTGGATGGCCTTTATCTTGGCATTTGTCAGGCTGCCACATGCAGGTCACCCCTCTTTGCAAGAGAAGTAACCCAAGTTGGCCACAGAAAGGGAGGAATGGAAATACACAAACAGATTTTCATGAAGTGCTTATTTGAGCCCCAAGTCATGAAGGCAACTTGACTTGTTCTTGATCAGTTCATCTGATAAATGACTTGCTTAAATTTAATCCCAGTGATGAAAACGTTTGGTAAGCATTGTCTTAAATGGTGTAATGTTCCCAATTGGCCTTTGTATGTTTTCAGTTTGTTTAGGAGTTTCGCTTCCTTTGCACTAAGGGAAAAACAAGAAAAATAAAATTGGATACAGGAGTTTAGCTGTAAGTGTGGTGAGCTGAGCGCTGTGGGAGGACAAGGTTTGTAGGCGGGGTAGTAGCTTAATCAGGCTATCTGGTACCAATGGACAAATCAGACAAGCTTACCTCAGAAAGAATTCCTCCATAAATGTTACGTCCTTCTTTTGTGATTTTTTTTTTTTTTTTTTTGTACTTTGTTCATTAGCAAAAGTATTCTTACCCAACTGTCAGCATAGTTGGAAAATATTTTGCATGTTACCAGAACTTTAAAAAGCATGTATGTTGAGGAAGAGTCAGTTCGTCTAAAACAGGTAACTGCTCCAAAGAGCTCCAGATCCTTTGAAGATAGGAGAAAAAGCAGTATTGTTTCCTCATTCAAGCTGATCCTGCATGCCTTACGCAATGATGCTCTCAGCTCACGTAAAGGCTTTTGGGCTACCAGTGTTTGCCAGTTAGTCAGACTTGGGAGATGTTCGGTACCATATAGGATTCAGTGACTCTCCCTGTGTTCAGGTGAGACGTTAGGAAGAAATTCTTTATTCAGAAAGTGGTGAGGCAGGCACTGGAATAGATTGTCCAGAGAAGCTGTGAACGCCCCATCTCTGGAGGCATTCAAGGCCGGGCTGGATGGGGCCCTGGGCAGCTGATCTGGTGGGTGGAACCAGGCCACGGCAGGGGGGCTGCAACTGGATGGGCTTTAAGGTCCCCTTCAACCTAAACCAGTCTATGGTTTCAAATGGCATAGCAGCAGGCAGTGCAGCTGACTGCCACCCCTCTTACTGAAAGGAGGCTGGGGACAAGACACTGCAGTGAGGAAAGGAATGCTTGGCTCTGGGATTAATTCCCTACCTATTTGTCTCACGGAGCTTGGAGTTCAACTTCAGGGCATATTTTCAAGGCATTATTTCTGTTCAGGCACAGGTCTGACAGCAGCACTGTGTGCAGCACTCCTACTGACTTCAATGAGAGCTCCGTGTGGAAAGTAAAGGTAGAATGGCCCTTGAAGTCTGTGACACAGTGTGGCTTGGGGAAATGTGTATGTGTTTTGTGCTTTAGGTGTTTTTTCAATGAACGTGCAGCCAATCTAGTTATGGTTTGGACCCTGATCCTGCTGTGCAGGTTCAGTAGATGCATGCATACTGTGAATACATATTGAATGTGGCACACTGAACACTAATCTATGGGAATTTTGTAAAAACAAAACCAAAATACACATATAATGATTGTAATAGGCATGCTTAAGAAAACCTTAGAATGCCTATTTAAAGTTTTCCTGGGTTTTGTTGTGCTTACTACAGATGCTACCATTTTGAAACTTTTGTTTAATTGTAAGGGGTGGGAAGCATGAAATGTCACTGTTCAGTAATAGCATCTTTCACATGCTCTCACTTGTGTTTAAGTGTAAATATTTTCCATTGTGGGATGGATCCTAAAAGAAAAAAAAAAAAAAAAAGGAGGGTGGAGGGGTAGAAAAACATTGTTATGTTATTTCAGAATGTATGGTTTGGGATTCTGACGGAGTAAAGTGAGTGATTTGAAGCAAAAAAGAAAACAAATATGATGTTTGGGTCCATCTCTCTACATTCAGGTGATTGGGCAGAGCCTGTCAAAGACTGAACCTTAGTTATCTGCTTCTGTTTGCAGGGTGTGGAGGCAAGGAAGGGAAAGAGATGTGTGGCATGACCCCGGAGCTTGTTGTGCTTACCACCTAGCTCTTAGCCTTTGTGACCGTGGTATTTTTCTTGTTTTCATAGAATCACAGAATGGCTTGGGTTGCAAAGCACCACAATGCTCATCTGGTTTCAACCCCCTGCTGTGTGCAGGGTCACCAACCGCCAGACCAGGCTGCCCAGAGCCACATCCAGCCTGGCCTTGAATGCCTCCAGGGATGGGGCATCCACAACCTCCTAATGTCTGTTATTCTGTCCTTCTCACTGCCTCTTCAAGATACCATTTGAGACACCTGAATAGGAGCGGAAGGGGCAAAACTTTTTGTGCAGTGTAATGGGGTGAGCTACTGTGTAGAGAGAGTAGCAAACATCTGCTCAGGTTAAAAGCTAAATGTGAAGCACTGGATGTGTGGTGACTTGATTGTGCTGCTTTGCTGTGGGAAAGCTTTTTCTGTTCCAGGAAGGAGGATTGCCTCCCACCCGTGCCAGAATCCTGCCCCTCATGAAACTGGCAGCATTGAAAAATGCCTCTTATATAGCTACTATGAAGTACCACTATAGAACTTCAATCACAAAAGTATCCCTGTTCTTTATTTTCAAAAGAGGGTCACCTTAAGCTTGACAAACTTTCACAGCCTGAACAGGCATAAGGACCATGTGGAGGAAAATGTCTCTGGGGATGCATTTTCAGTGAGAATGTTCACTTGAGACATGAGTCTTGGGTAGAGTGATTCGATTCCATTTACTAATGCAGAATTTGACAACAGTAAGAACTCCTTCGCTGTTTAATCATCCACTAGAGAAAAAATCAAAATACTTTTTTTCTTTCCCAGAATAGCTGGCTGGCAGAAAACTTGAAAAATGTGAATCCCCTTCTTGATACCAAGTCACTTTGTTGATGAACAGTGCTCCCAGCAAAAACTGGGAATGATACCAGACAAAGGATGCCTGGCATCATTATCTGCATTATATATCAATAGTTGTGCTTCCTTGCTTATCAAGTGTATAACCTTGTGTGTCCTTAAAGTGTAAAAACAAAACACCCACAACCCTAAGGACACCTGGGACTGCACTTCTAAGAAGGCAAGAGAAATAAAAAGACTTTATTAAAATATTATGAGTTATTGTTAACATATATTTACATATTTTAATTCATCCTAGGAAACATCTTAAGGAATGAAATATTATATATCTACAGTTGTGAAACCAGCATCTTATTTTTTTGTTTCTGTGCTAAAATCTATTGGTACAGTGTCTTTGTATTTGGGGGTATTTGTGTGATTTATATAATAACAAGGTAATTTAGTTTCCAAACGAGATGTGATTAGATGGAACAGTTGCCTAGCTCCTTTATTTAGTCCAGTCCTGAACTGGAAGGATAAGGGCTCTGGAAGATCCATCTTTGACTAATTCATAGTGTTACAGGTGGGCAAAGCAAACTGGGTCAATGGTGTTGCTCAAAAATGATCGCTGTGTGATCAAGTGACTTTTGAGGCTTTGACATTTCTATTGCCAGGCTTTTTTTTTTGGGGAGGGGGGGGAAGAAGGAGGTGGTGGTGGGGCTGGGGGGTTGGGAAGGGGGGAGAGTGCCAGATCTGTAGCATTTTTGTAGCCAGCATCTGTCAATTCAGTAGGACTTAGGGCATTTTTGGTTGATTGTTTGCACAATTACTATTTTATATAGAAAACTTTGCTAAGAGTCTGATTACAGTAACAAAAGTGAGGAGGAAAGCAAGGCTTGTGGTGTTAACAATGCCATCTAGATAAATGTATTTTTAAATCTAATCTATCTCAGAACCCATTGCTAGAAGTAAAATCTTGGAGTGCTGGCATGTATCAAAAGGCAGAATTGTAGAGCCGTCTGTGTGCCATGTACAGACAGTAAGGGCTCTGGTGAAATATCTGTTTATTCATGGAATAGTTTTGTGCACAAGACCAAGTACATAAATGGGCAAAAAAAAGGTGGGGGCAATTGTGTTGCTGCCAAACAAATCCACTTGACAGCACGTGCATTAAAGGGCATTATGTTAGTGAGGGAACACAGTGAGGAATCCTGAAAACTGTTTGTGAGGAAGTATAGCTACTGTTGGGGTGACCAGATGTTTGTGAACTGCAGGTGTATTGTTCCTTGTGGTTTTAATCTTTGGGATTTGAAATTCAGGAACACCTGCATTTCCTGGTCACATCTGTCTGCTTCTTTGCCATCTCTATTTTCCCCTCTGTCAGCAGTTGGCTACCAGATGAGCTTTAGATGAATGGCATTCACCTTACCTCATAGTTGTTTTATGATGCTGGTTAGATGAAATAGTTCCAGCAGATACTCTCAATAAGCAGAGGCCTGTACTCTCTGCAGTTCATTGAGCCCATATGGATGAGAACAGCTGGAAAGATGGGTTTGCTACCTGAGGCCAATGTTTGTGTTGCCAACCGCGACTCCAGCTTGCTGACCCTTGTATAATTCATTGCAGTTGAGGAAATGTTGCTCACACTATTCCATTTTGTGATGAATGGCGTTACTTAAAACTGATAGTCTTGTAAAGCAGTGGTGACTTCCCATGTCTGACAGATGTGAACGAAGAATACAGTCAATAAATATTGCCATGTTCTAAAGGAAGATTCACTGCCTATAGTTGATGGAGAGAAATTTCAGCGCAAACAGAAAACAGGTGGAGAAAAAGCTGGTTTAAAATTACAGTTTAGAGGTTATGGTCTTTTGTGGAGATCCATGCGCTGTGGATCTTGGAATTGTCCAGGTATTGTGCTGGGGGCACAGATTTCAATCTGGTGCTGTGGAACCAATACTGCATCAGTGGCCCCATTAGTTTAGCCAGGCGAATTGTTCTGGTGACCTTG